TAGATATATAAGTGCCTATTTCCCACTTTGGATACTGAACACCCGTGTGGGAACTTGAGCAAGCTGTTCTAATCCCAGATGCCTAGGCATCTTCTACATAAAAGCATCAGGATTTTTGTCAGGCCAATAGCCATGAAACATCTGTAAAGTTATGGACCCTTTTGCCTTAAAGAGTATGGTTTCCTAGTGTGAATGATGAAGTCTCGATTAAATTGTCCATGAAGAGGACTATAGGTGTAAGCAAAGGAGCACAGTCCCTTGTGGACACCAACATTTGGAACACGGTTTCTGGAAACTACATGTGAAATAGCTACCTGAGAGGCGACTTTGAAAAGGCTTGTCCTCTGGTCCACAATGCACGGTCTCTCAAAGTTGTCATGAGAGAGAGCTTAAGACCGGCAGATCCAAGCAACCACAATAAGCATTCCATTCAGAACTTTGGAAGTGGTTTGTTCTGCCAGCACTTACACATGTTCTCATTTGTAAGTCAGATCATCTTTCTTTCCCAGGACGGCAACCGTAGCACAAAGAAGAAAGCCGAGCACCACACACCCTGAATCTGAATCATAGGTCAAGCTGAGGCCACCTTCTCATGGACATCCTGATGGTGAAAAGCTTTACAGAAGCATTATGGCCCACAAATTGGCTCATGAGCATCGTCTATTGTTCTGGTTTCCTTTATCTTTGTATGAGGGAATGTTACTGAAAAGTTTCTCGCTAGCACGGTGGCTCATGCCTGTGATCCCAGCTACCTAGGAGGCTGAGGCAGGAGGATCGCTCGAGTCCAGGAGTTCTGGGCTGTAGTGCGCTATGCTGATCGGGTGTTCGCACTAAGTTCAGCATCAATATGGCGACCTTCCAGGAGCGGGAGACCACCAGGTTGCCTGAGAAGAGGTGAACTGACCCAGGTTGGAAAAGTCCCTCTTTAAGACATATATGAAATAAAGAACCAAGTGCAATGTGACCTAGAACCACGCATTTGGTGACCAACAGGGCGAGGAAAAAGGTAACAACTTTGGTATTTCAAAATAGGAGCAGGGACCAATAGATGGCATAATGGTTATGTCACTGGACTCCCACATAGTTGACGGTGGTTTGAGTCCCAGACCCGGTGACTTAAAATCATGTTGGATGCATGTGCATGTGCACCCAAAATCCCAAAAAGTGAATGGAGAAGGGATTGTGCTGCAGCTATCCCCCGGGGGGTGATTTCTCGCTTTCTATCTCTCTCTGTCCAAAGAAGAAAGCCGAGCACCACACACCCTGAATCTGAATCATAGGTCAAGCTGAGGCCACCTTCTCATGGACATCCTGATGGTGAAAAGCTTTACAGAAGCATTATGGCCCACAAATTGGCTCATGAGCATCGTCTATTGTTCTGGTTTCCTTTATCTTTGTATGAGGGAATGTTACTGAAAAGTTTCTCGCTAGCACGGTGGCTCATGCCTGTGATCCCAGCTACCTAGGAGGCTGAGGCAGGAGGATCGCTCGAGTCCAGGAGTTCTGGGCTGTAGTGCGCTATGCTGATCGGGTGTTCGCACTAAGTTCAGCATCAATATGGCGACCTTCCAGGAGCGGGAGACCACCAGGTTGCCTGAGAAGAGGTGAACTGACCCAGGTTGGAAAAGTCCCTCTTTAAGACATATATGAAATAAAGAACCAAGTGCAATGTGACCTAGAAGCACGCATTTGGTGACCAACAGGGCGAGGAAAAAGGTAACAACTTTGGTATTTCAAAATAGGAGCAGGGACCAATAGATGGCATAATGGTTATGTCACTGGACTCCCACATAGTTGACGGTGGTTTGAGTCCCAGACCCGGTGACTTAAAATCATGTTGGATGCATGTGCATGTGCACCCAAAATCCCAAAAAGTGAATGGAGAAGGGATTGTGCTGCAGCTATCCCCCGGGGGGTGATTTCTCGCTTTCTATCTCTCTCTGTCCGGCAAACATGTAGCAAAAATCTATAGCAAAATAAGAAGAATAAAATAGGAGCAAAAAATATTCAAAATGCAAGTGAGCTAGAGCAATTTCAGTACATCTGGACTACAGGCCTGGAAGTAGAAAGCAAGGGAAGCTATGGTGAGCTACGCTGCGGCATGAGCCCGTTCACAGCCTCAGCTGCGGACAACCCTGCAGTCTTGGACATCTGTGATACCCTTTGAACCAAGGGAGAGCATCTGGACTCCTCTGAAGAGACGGGGCATGACGGCTCCTCTCTTCTCCATTCTCATTATGTCAGTGAGCACTGGTCGGAGTATGTCTTATGAATAAGGTCAGAGGTTTAGAACCTCAGGTTCTCAGCTGTTCAGGAGAGACCACAGTCCACTGGCATTAATAGCAGGAGAGCACACAGCATGACAGCTGTCGTTTAGAGAAAGGCGGAGCTCAGTCCAGAAGGAACTATGTCCCTCGGGCTGCTCACATTTCCCTAGAGAAGACAGGGGAGTCTAAATAAATTACAGGAAAACAGCAATCTCATAAGTCCCTGAGCCAGATTAGCAGACTCCAGACCTCCCTTTCTCTGAGTCAGAGTGGAGGAAACAAGCCTTCCAGAAGCATTCTTTCTTAGCCCCGTACTCTGGGTCACTGGTTGCCAAAAACAGGCACAGAAGTGGTTAAAAGAAATATGTTCCACTCCAAAATCTAATGTATATTCAGGTTCTTGGAAAAGTGACATATGGGCCACCAGGTGACATGGAGGTTAAGGCAGCTGGACCTCTCCTGTCCGCTTTCTTGGTTTGAGTACCAGATCTGGCAGCTTAGAAGTCATGCTAAGTGTATGTGTATGCATCCAAAATCCCAGGGAGAGAACAAAGGGATTGTGATGGGGCCGTTCCTCCTGGGGGGTGATTTCTCACTTTCTCTGTGTCTCTCTGGAAAGTGCAGTGCACACATGCTATAACAAAAACTTAAAAAAAAAAAAAACAAGAAAAAGTGACATACAAATCTTACAAATATCTTCACCTTGAATTGCTGTCTTAATTTTCTTTTTATTTGTCATTAATTTAATTAATATTTAAAAACCAGAAACAGGGGACTGGCAGGTGGCATGATGGTTAAGGGTGCTGGACTCCCACATGGTCACCATGGTTCATGTTCCAGACCTGGCAGCTTGCTTTCTCACGCTCCCTCTCTTTGTCTCTCTGTCTCTCTCTGGTCAAATTAAAACACAGTATTGAGTCATTAAAAGAAAACATGATGCATTTTTATGTTTTTCTATGCAAAGATATGTCATGACTTTTCTGATGATCCAATAATAATAAATAAAATTAAATAATTATTTATAAAAATTTTAAAAAGCAGTTGTTAAAATTTCTTTGTGAATGTCAATTTACAATTCCTATAGGAGTGGAAGTCTGAAAGCTTCTACTTTAGGAAGTTTTGGAGTACTTCTTCGTTGGTCAGTCAGAGCTCATGACACAGTTTCACTCAAATAGGCATTTGCCAAGAGACAAGAGGTAAATCAAAGATGTTGAGTATTCTTTTTTAAAAGAACTAGCAACAGAATAAATGTTTCAAATAGTGTAAGTACATAAAAGTTACAAAATATTTTCTTCTATTAAAATAGATGATGCATCTCTCTGTTCTAAAAACCTATTGCAACGTAACATTTAATATGGTTTTATAATAATCCCATGCATTAGCCATTACTTATTTTTCATCTGCCATAAGAAGTAGAGATGAAGGTTGCTCTTTAAATTGTAGAACATAGCAACTCAGGCGACTAGATGAACTGTATGGAGAACCATCATCCTGATTTCCTGAGTGCTTGTTAAGACTGTGGAGGCACCTTCCAGTTTCCACCCTGAAACCTCCGGACACAGTGGCTGCACTCTTTCTCTTTCAGATGCAGACCGATTCCTTGGAAGTAACTCTGCACAGTCACTCTGCGGTTCTCACTTCCCAGGGGCAACTGTTCCACCTTCTTTCCTCATTCAGATCTCCAGATCATCCAGCTTCTGATGAAATCCACTGAGAAATTTCTCCAGAAAGCTTTCATTCCAGGTCCACACGGTGTTTTCTACTTCTCCCAGAATATAAGGTTCTATGGAAATCTCAAATACCTTATAATACGAGTTTTATTACTAACTCAGTAATGTTAGAGTGTCAGTTTTCTCATGTATAAATTATACTCAAAAGTTTCCTCTAGTTGTAAAATTCTTTGGTTGTGCATATATTCCAAATACCTTTTTTTTTTCCTCTAAAGGAAGATCGAATGTTTGCAAATATTTTCACTCATTCTGTGGGTTACCTCTCTATTTACTCATTTTGCAAGTGAATCTTCTATTTGCTTTTCTAGGGGCAGGCAGGTGGTGTGGTGGTTGAGGACGCTGTGGCCCACATGGTTGACTGTGGTTCTCACTTTCTCTATCTCTGTCTCTCAAATTAAATAATAATAATAAAGTTAAATAAAAATAATTCTTTAAAAAATGTATATGTTTGCTTTGCTGTGCAGAAGCTTTCTCCTTTTTTTTTGCTTGATGTAATCTTGTCTATTTTGGTATTGTTGCCTATTCTTAGAGGTCTTATTTAGGAAATCTTGCCTACTTAAAGTGTTTATCCTATATTCTGTTTAGTTTTATAGTTTTTGGCTTTATTTTTAAGTTGTTGATCCTCTTGAGTTACTTCTTGTAAATGGTGAGGGACAGAGGTCTAGTTTCATTCTTCTGCAGGTGGATATCCAATTTTCCCAGCACCACTTATTGAAAGGCTGCTTTTTCTCCACTGTATTGTCTTGGAAGCTTTGTCAAAAATCAATTGACTGGGGAACCAGCAGTTAGCGTAATGGCTATGTCGCTGGACTCCCACATAGTCGACTGCGGTTCGCGTCCCAGACCCGGTGGCTTAAAACTCACACCAGGCGTGTGTGCATGCATGCCCAAGATCCCAAGAGGGGAATGGAGGAGAAGGGATTGCAGCGTGACCATCCCCCCTGGGGGGTGATTTCTCGCTTTCTGTCTCTATGTCTCTCTCTGTCTGTCTGGTGAGCGCACGTGCCCTATAGCAAAAACCTCTCAAAAAAAATTTTTTTTTAAATTAAAAAAAATTAAAAATCAATTGACTGTATTTTTTTGTTTTTAGAGGTTTTGTTTTGTTTTGTTTTGTTTTTGCCTTAGGGCACGTGTGTTTGCCAGAGGAGAAGGGACAAAGATATTGAGAGAGAAAGTGAGAAATCACCCTACAGGAGAGATAGCCATGCTGCAATGACTTCTCCATTTTCCTCTTGGAATCTTGGGCACACGTATATACATGCCCAGCATGACTTCAAGTCACCAAGTCTGGGACTCAAACCACAGTCAGCCATGTGGGAGTCCAGTGGTGTAACTGCTATGCCATCTGCTGACCTCCCAATTGGCTGTGTGTTGTAGGATTTATTTCTGTATCTTTTCTGTGCCATTGGTCTACATGT